ACGTGTTTATGATGATAACGTCTTAGGCGCTCACTATCATGTACAAACTGGCTTGACGTCAGGGCCTGCGAAAGCCGTGTAAACGCTTTCTGAGAATAGACTTACGCGAAGCGTATCATTATCCTGCATCCAGACTGGTGCTCACACGGCGTTGGGTCAATTGACAGCCGTCCGGGTCTGCGGCCCCGCACTCGAATGAGCCGCAGCACAGCTTGAACTGGTGAGTAATAGAACTGACCCGAAGGCATAAGTACGGCAAGTAGTAGCTGGAAACCCGGGCCAAGGCGCCTCGGTTCACGATGCCGAACCTGGGGCTATCGCTGTTAAGAGCCGGGGGTCCGCTGCGACGTTCGGCTATGCTATTACCTCTTCTATCATATGTAACTACGGTCTAGATGGTTGCCGGTAAAATGCGAGTGTGCTTTTGGTAGTCTGCCAGTGACCTACCCAGCCAATCAGACAATCGGATTTACTACAGACCCATAATAGTTACGCAAAGTTGAAAACTCCTCGGTTTTAAGCAATTCAAGGCTAGGCAATTATTTAAGGCAAATAGAGGCAACAATAGCGATTTATTCAAAACTTCGTTATATCACGTGACCATCTACAGCCCAAATTAATCCTGCCTATACTGCCTGTATGGCAGCAGCAGCGACGGCTGTAGTGGCGGCAGCAGCAACTTCGCCGGCAATGCATTGTGGGTGTCTGTTGGCGATGGTGGATTTGCGGCAAAAAGGGCGTTTTTCGCATGGGTTATGGACTGTGGCGGTGGCGGTTGTGGCAGTACCTTCCAAAATAGGCTTAAATCACTGGCAGACTACCAAAAGCACACTGGCATTCTACCGGCAACCGTCTAGATGAGCTTCAAGTATGTTACCGCTGCCTTAAAAGGCGTGTCGGGCCCCACCATCTGAACCAGTCCGTCGGGCAACTCCGAGAATAGAAGACGTACTGGTGACGCAGGGACCAGGTTCGTCGCATGTTAGGCTGATTTTTCTCTTCTTCATTAAACTCAAAACGCCAATTACTCATGCTCGTGTACGCTGTCGTGCTGAGCTGTTGATTAGAGTTTGGCGGGTA